TCTATTAACAAAGTCACTTATCTCCCAAACTCTGCTCTGGCAATTACAACTTTCCAGAAGTATCTCATGTCTTTTCCTCCCACAGGATAAACAAACAAATTATATTAGTAAAATCATAATGACCCCCCCCAAAGCCCTCCAGGTTCTATGCCCCCTTTTTACACTCTGGCTTCACTTTCCACCACACTGCCTTTACTTACAGTGCTCTGAAGAGCTAATGTGCTATCTTGTCCCTCTGCCTCAGTTACAGGAGCCCCAGAGGCCCAATAAGCTAGTAATGCTTTCCTTACCACCGTTTTCAATAACAATCTCCACGTCTGCATTTTCTACCTCCCTAAATGCTTTTTTCCCCTTGATGGTACTTATTGCAACCAATGTGTGTTATACACTAAATTTTCTTGGCATCTGTCTGTTAGCCCGCTGACAGCACTATGAGGGAAGAGACTTTAGGGCTCTGTTTTGTTCTCAGCATCTACAACAATGCCTGGATTATTATAGTAAAGTTCAATAAATATTTATGGAATAAACAAATAATCCTAAATTTGATAAGTAATGCTGACATGCCAAATAATTATTCATCGTGTATTAAAAGCACAAAACTACACAATCTATTATCATCAAATACAAACAGTACAGAAAGTGGGGTCTTGCTTTCACAAAGCCTTAAACAGAGAATTAAAGTGCATGGGATAATTAGCTTAAGAACAGAGCACTAGGTATGACTATTAACTAATTAGGTTTATTTGTAAATGACTCATGAAATTAGCCTGGATATTTCAGATTGTACCTAGCATGTAATTAAAAGCAGAAATTAGTCACATATACTGTTTCCTTTAAGTTCAGAGGGGGGAAATGAATAGGTCGCAGCGGCAGGAAGAGACCACAGACAAATGTGCTAGTTTTTGTGTGACAAACTTGACACACAAACTGGGAAGAGGAATCCTCAAATAAGGAAATGCCTCTGTGGTGGTTGGTCCGAAAGAAAATGGTTCCCATAGGCTCCCAGGGAATGGCGTTATTGGAGGTATGGCTTTGTTGGAGGAAGTGTGTCAGGGGCTGGGCTTTGAGGTTTCAGATGCTCAAGCCAGGCCATGTGTCACTCTCTCTTCCTGCTACCTGCCAATTTAGATGCAGAATTCTCAGCTTCCCCTCCAGTGCCATGTGTGTTCCCACCATGATGATAATGGACTACATCTCTGAACCGTAAGCCAGCCCCAATTAAATGCTTTCCTTTATAAGAGTTGTCATGGTCATGGTGTCTCTTCCCAGCAATAAAATCCAAGTAGGCCTCCATCAGACTGACCTGATGAATGATGCAACTATTGTGGGCAGTGCCACTCTGGCAGGTGGTCCTGTTTGTATTAGAAAGCAAACTGAGTGAGCCCCCGGGAGAAAGCCAGCAAGCAGCATTCCTCCAAGGTCTCTGCTTCAGTTCCTGCGTACAGGTTCTGGCCTTGAGTCTAGGTCCTCACTGCCCTCAGTGAGGGACTGTAACCTGTGAGCCAAATAAACCCTTCCATCCCCCAAATCTCCCAAGTTGTTTTTGGTCAATGTTTTGTCACAGCAACAGAAAAGCAAACTAGCACAGCGGGAGATGAGGTCCCAGTGGGTTTTGTAGACATAATAGCATGCATTGGCAGCAAACAGACAAAAAGAATTTGATGAGGCAGCAAAGAGACATGTGAGAAGCCTCTGTCAAACAGACTGGAGGGCACTCAGTGATGAGGAATGGAGACCAGAGAGGACAGGCAGCCCTAATACAACTAGAGCATAACCTAAGCAGAGGCCTCAGGTATGGGCAAAAACCTCACAATAAGAAGCTGCCAGGCTTGTATCCCAGCACACCAAACCCCTGGGGTTCCCTGCACTACTCCTAAAAGTTCAGACCAGCAACTTTTGGTGGAACCAAAAGAAACTACCTCCTAGCCCCGCCCTGCTCCCTCCCTTCCTCTCCTAGCCCCTCCAAGATAGCTAGTCACCAAAAACTAACACAAGCAAAACAGGGAAATAAAGTCCAGTTCCCCAACTCAAGGCAGAACAAATGGAGCTGCCATTTTGTTCCCAAGTTTCCTGCTAGATCCAAGAAGGTAGGTATCCCCTGAAATCACAGCTTTGTCCCAGTGCATTCTCCCTGCTTCACCCATTGTCTTGTACGCAGCATTTAAAAGAAGATCCTTATTAGTACTTGCAGAAGAAGTCTTATTCTCACATTCTGATTCTAGGAAAATAGGACTAAGGCAAATCTGCACAGAATATTCAATATTCATAATGAAAACTGTTTATAAAAAGAAGAGTTCTATAGCAAAAGTACTATTACAGGTGATTCAGTATGGAAGGGTTAACTCACAGAACAGTCTGACTGGTAAGAGGCAAGAAAAAACAATTAATGACAGTATTCAAATTTAGAATATTTGCTGTGATGCAAGAAAAAGAACTGAAAAAGAGATAGGTCTTAGTCGAAAAGACTTGATGATAATTCTTCAGTGTCATATTTTTTCTTTAAAAAGCAAAAGAACTTTTTCAGTAGAATTGTCGATTGTTGTGCCATAAGCTTCAAAAAATATCCATAATAGGGCTGGAGAGACAGTTCGGTCAAGAAAGTGATTGACACACAAGCCAAAGGACCTAGTTGACCCTCAGAACCCATGAAGAAAGCCAGGAGTGGTGGTGGCCCATACTTCTAATCCCAGCACTGGGGAGGTGGAATCAGGCAGGTTAGTCCCTAGCACCCGCTAACAGGCCAGCTTAGTCTAACAGGTGAATATCATGCCAATGAACAATGAAAAAAAAAAAACAAGGTAGGTGGTACCTTAGGAATGACATCAGGGGTGGACCTCTGACTTACTTACTTACTTACTTACTTACTTATTTACACACACACACACAGCGAGAGAGAGAGAGAGACAGACAGACAGACAGAGTGAGAGACAGACACAGACATAGATGCATATGCATACACACACAGGCACAAATTTATACACAGTATCATAAAGGGTTCATATTACACAATATAAGATATGTTCAGAAACATAAAGAGAATTATAATTAATTACAACAGAACTCTAAAATTCTTTCTTATATTCTGGGTCTCTGAATCTCAATGTGGAAAAAGAAAGATAAGATTCAACAGAGCAGAATCCCCAAATGTTTATAATACTGAGTTGGTTTTGTAAGTTAGTCAGATTTTGTTCTTCAGTAGCTTTATTAGAGTCAGTAGCAGACTGCTGGAGTTGGAAATGCATCCAAACAGGGTGACATCTGGTTTTCATCTAGTCTTATGAGACTCAGTGTTTTCAAAAGAAAATAAAATACTGAGTCCCAGTTTATAAAAATAAGGAATATAGTGTCTGGATTATAAAATAAAGAGGACAATGTGAAAACAAGAAGGCTGCTAATAAAGAAATGATGGCAGCCCACAAAGGAGCTTACACGGCTATATGGACTCAGTTTTAGGGTGTGAGAAACAGCCATCATCATATGTATGTGTTTTATATTTTTGATATCTCAGACAAGCTTAACTATTTGTTCTCCTTCAAATTCAAACATGGCAAAACTATCTATAAAGAAAAATGAGCATCTTCATTTAATCAGTAACAATGTTTATCTTGCATGCCTCTATAGACAGGCAGTATGAAAACATTAGCAATAGACTGGCTTTATTTTTCACTGATTATCTTTCCATGCATTAAAATGTATAGCTATCAAAAGTTTATATATGTGTAACTGGTGATTCAGTGATCCCAATTAAAGAAATTTCTTCAACATACAAAAATGCAAAGATTCAACTGGTTAGACAATCATAACACAATAAACTAAATCCATAAATCTAAGTAACTGTAAGCATTAAAACTTTTCCCTACTCAATTTTACACCGATCCTCATATAAACAATCAAGCGTATTTTGCTCTCCCTGACTCCTTTAAGTATTAGTCCCCGGAACATCGGCAGCAAAGAGGAGAGAGGCATCCAAAGTGCTCTCCATAGAACACTAGTCTCAGGAAAGAATCTGAGAAGAAAGTTTCTATTATCAAATATGTTAGGAAGATATTTTATTTTCTTCACTCAAGAGTCACAATCTGCATGACAGTTTATGGAAAAATAAGAGTTGTTTCAGGGGTAAGGTATGGTATTATCCATATATGATAAACTAGAGAACACTTAGAGAGGGGTAGAAGGTAAATAATAAAAACACATTGTGTACATGTGTGAATTCTCAAAGGAAAAAAAAAATAGAAATCATTAAAACTGGGACTTATGACCCTGGTAATGATCAGGCTCCTTCCTTTTACATAAGGTTCAGAGCCGATTCACCTTCATACTAAGTCAGAGATACCACAGTGACTCTTATGTTAAATCTATGACAATAACAGGGATCTCAACTGCATATACCTCTGATCCTCATATCCAGATCTGATTCAGCATGGCCAACACTGCTTTTAATAAGCACTGTGATATATGACTGCAACGCAGGTCCAGTGTTGGGATACTCAAAACACGTGACTTATTATCATCAGTAAGAATACAATTCATTGTGAGGACAGAAGAACTTAACAAAAAAACTCACAAAATTTAAAAGTCCAGTCTTCAAGTACATATATTAAAAATGTTTATCTATTCAAAACAAGAAAGGTAAAAAAGAAACTAGAGAAGTCAAACCAGATCACAGAAGGCCATACCCTAATACACTGCTCAGAATATGAAGCAACAATTTATCCTACAGTAAGAATTCTTAGCCTGAACCCTACTGAAAATTTTCAGGAATTCTTGAATTCACAAAAACCATACAACCAGTGTTCATGAAGACATGGATAACATGAAAAATGGCCCACTGTTTTCATCAATTCACATGTCTCATGAATATCCAATTGAAGAGCTACTACACTTTTTATTTATTTACCTGAAACAGCAATATAAAAACTGCTTCTTACATAGCATGAATCAAACACACAGAAATAGTTCCTCAATGTTGAGTTCTCTCTCAGTGACAAAATTCAACCTACCTTTGCAGAGTCATATTCAAGGAGCCTGTACAACCCTTAATCTTGTTCTGGGCTTCAAGATGAGTCATTCCATGTGCACTAATTCCATCAATGCTGAGGACCACATCGCCTATTCTCACATGTGCCTGTGATGCCTTGCCACCATCTTTCAGCTGCAATAAACAAATCTCATTAGAAACATCACTGTTTAAAACACAAGAACACTAATGCACATAAAATTATACTTTGTTCATACAAAAAATTCCATTAATATACTATTGGGCAACATAAAATTATCTTGCTTGATAAAAGAAGTTAAAATTGAAATTATTTTCATGCTTTTTTCTTAAATTCTTTATTCAAAACCAAATAATAGTCTGAAAAATAGTCTCTGATAATTTCCCCATTTATTCACTATGCAATAGTAGTGCATGATGGTTAAGAAACAGAAAAAGAAGTATCCATAAAAACTTCACATTTCAGCAAAAGAAAAGGAAGAGAACCTAAAACAAAGCATTAATTTTTAAAATAAATTTTTTTAAACTGCTGTATTCTGTTTGCGCACAAACATGAAAGAAGGATCTTGGCGCACTCCTTCTCCTAAGTCCAGCTCACATCCGCATTTGGGGATTAACTTCTTTTAGATCACAGGCCCAAGTATCTTTTATACTGGTGTGCTTCCTGCTCTAGGCATCTAACAGGAAGGGAAGGAAATGCATTGATTTGAGACTGCCAGACTTTTTTTGTGTATCCCAGTCCTTAATCCCCAGTGTTTCTTTAGTTACTCAATAAAAATGCCTGGATGTTTACATCATTTAGCTTGATCTCCTACAAGTTGCAAATACATGTTTTTCATCACCTCCGGAAAGCAAATATAAAATTACAATGTTAAAAAAAAAAAAAGGCAGTTTTCATAAATAGCTAGAAATACGAAACAAATACAGACAAAAGGAACCATTCTAACTCAATGACAAGCTCAGCATTCAACTAGTCTAAGCAGATTATTATGATTATTACATTATACTGGGTGGCTGTAAATAGATGAGACCAGGCCCAAACCAGAAATTAGCCAGTAAGATGTCATAGAGTTCCTATTTGGGACAATGAAAGTTTTCAATAAACAGTGATGGGAACTACATAAATAACACTGTGAATACACCCCACTAATACAGCCTAACTGTACACTTGACAATACTTAAGTAGCTAACTCTTAAGTTACAAACATTTTCCCACCATCACAGTATTTTTTTAAGCTTAAAAGAAAATATTAGTTAAAAAAAATACTAATTAAAATGAAGAAAGAAAACAAACTCTTAGTTACCAAAGTAGTGTACTGGGTGCTACACTACATAATTTGGGACAAAGGAATAAATACAATACATTATGTTCATTTAGTTTTTCAATATTATCAGTTCTCAAATTCTTTCCTTAAGGCAGACAAATCCCAATACACAAAAATAATCATTTAGATCTAATTAAAAAAAATAGTGCTGAGCGACAAAATGACAAACATGAACAGTACATGTATTTCATCCATCACAGACTTTCACTAAACATGCATTCTACTCAGTAACTCACACAGTTTCACTGCACTAAGTAATACGTAAGCTAATGGAATAGCATTTCTTTTTATTAATTTAAATATCAAAGAAAACATTTACTCTAATAGTAGAAGATATATTAACTATTCATGTCTACTGCACAAAACTACATTATAGAAACTGTATGCGCATTTCCAAGGGAAACAGTTGCTGAAGCCAACCATGCCATTACTTTGTATGTGATTTGGGGAAACTCAATTCACTCATTTAAAGGATTGTTACAATGATTCCATGACATAAGAACTCAATAAATGCTAGTTGCTGCTATTCCCTTGACTTCAGATTGCTATCATGAGAAATGTGGAAGTTACCCAGATGATCCTAGGGTCTTCTCCTCCAACACAGTCTTTAAAGTTCATCTATATGCAAACTACCATTACAAAGTTACAGGTCTCTTCACAAAATGAAAATATAGCCCAGAAGACAAAGGCAAGGCTATTCCCTATTAAAATAAGCAAATACACTAAAATTCAGAATCCAGATAATGAGGGTAACCATAAACTAAACAGCTCATCCTATACTTTATTTTGGTCAAGGGGAGCAAGCATATAAGTAAAGTGAACCAGAAACAAAAATTCAACTCAATTACCTCAGCATCATCCTCACACGCAGAAACATTAAAACACAAACAGGGAAGGAAGCCTGTGGCATTTGTTTTAAATATGCTAAACAGAAGCAATTTAAATACTTTCTTTTCCAGAATTTGCATAAAGGTAATACATGATGCAGAAAGAATGTCAGGCCAAAGACAGGATCAATGAAACTGTAGTACTCCCTGGCTCCATATGCCTACTATTTGTTAAGATCCTAGCGTAGTCTCAAAATGTTCACAACTGACTTCTCCGCATTCTCTCTCAGAACTGTCTTTATCTTGCCCTTACCTTCAGGTCAGGGAACACAGAGATCTCATACAGCCTAATGAATCCTGTCTCTTTCTTGAGAAAAACACATAGGAAAGTAATTAAATGTTGCCAGTCCTCTCTTCCTTGTCTGACCACACCCTGATCATCTTTCACCTCCATCTTACCTATTATCTATTTGCACATTTCCAAAATGGTGGTTGCTGAAGTTTAAATGTGATATGAGTACGTCCCCAAGGATCTACGTGCTGAGATTTAATCTTGAGAAGTACTTAAGAAACTTAATCTGACTATGATGTTTGGAGTTGGGCCCTGTGTGATTAGTATTCAATATGGTCATTAGGATAGGGCTCCCACGATGAAATCCTGGTGGCTATAAAAAGAACAGAAATGGAGCCTGCCCTACCACTCCTGCCTTCCCAAGACACACCCTCTCTGCACACTATGGAGGTCTGTCAGGAAGAATGCCATCACCAGGTATGGCCCTTTAACTCTAGACATTCAGAATGCTAAGCCTAAATAAAATTGCTATCTATATAGCTCACACACTCTTACTGCACTATTGGCAAACAAACAAACAAACAAAAAAAAAAAAAATAGAAAGCTCTGGAGGGTAACTAAGAGTGCTGGCAACAGCCTGAAATGTTTGAGGGTTTGGAGGACCTCAATGGCTAACAACTCCAAAAGCTACCAATTTCTAGGACTGGGTCTTTATTTGTTTATCCTCTGTTGTCTAGAAAGGCCACTGTTGTCCCATTATAGGATAATTCCATTTTAATATTTTTTGGTGTGTGTGGATATTACTTTAGGAAGCTTCTGCAATAGCAGGTTTTCGTGTGGCTTCTCTGAAAAGTCTTTAGTGTTACTTATCCCTCCCAGTTGCCATCTTCCAACCCATCCTCCCCTGCCCAACCCCAATTTATTCCTTCCTGCCATAATTTCCTTTTAAGGCTTTATACCAGTGCCTTCTATTCTCCCTTCCCTTAAAAGAACCTCTCATGACCCCTTAGTAATGTCCTGACCTCTGTGAGTATTCCAAATGAAAAGCACATACCTAAAGAGTCACAGCTAACACCCATAAGTTAAAGAAAACATACAATGTTTGTCTTTCCGGGCCAGGATTATCTCAATCAGGATTTTCTCCAGCTCCACCTATTTACCCACTCATTTTATTTTTCTTAATAGCTGAACTGTAAATATACCATATCTTCATTTTCTATTCATCAGTTGGTGAACAGCTAAGGGTCACTTATTATTTATATAGCTCATCTTCTACAACTTGTAAAAAAATCTGAATAGCTACATTTGTTTCAAGCAGTGATTATTTTCTGTCACCAGTGTACCCTGTACATGTTACAAAGCAGTCCCTCGTCTTCTGTGAATACACAATGTGTAGGAATAAACAGCCATCAGAGGTTCCTGAATCAAGCTCAGTAAAAATCAAACTAATGACATGGAAATGCTTTTCCCTTTATTCTGTCTATCCATCTGTCAGCACTGTTAACCAATTTTCTATAGACTTAATTGTAGCTACATGTTTCTTTAAAAATTCTTAACTATCTAGTCTCACTGAGCTTGCAAGCTAATGTGGCTGCACACACTGGAGCTAGCTCTGAATTCAATTCCTCTCACCAGTGCTGAAGAGGTGGCAATACAGGGCTCTGGGTGCTAAGAAAGCAGGATCTTTACCTAGAGGGAAAGGATCTATCATCACTCATCTATAGGAATAGATGCATTTTAACCCATTATCTGTAATTATACATTAGATTTTCCTCTTTAAAAGAAATCCAGACTTCACTAAGTAGAGAACAGAGACTGCCTATGCTACGTGGAAACCAGAATTAGAGCCTTGGGCTTCCCTCAGCTCATCTTAATTTCACTAGAAATACCCAATGGTAAACCTTCTCCCAGCATTGTAGGAAGGTAGCTCATCCTGCCTCATGTCTTTTAGTGTTCTAAGAAAGGAGGGAGTCTGAAGTGTGACCCTAATTAGTCTTATCAATAAAAACCGGGAGTCACATATTGGGGTGAAAGCTGAAAAATCACAGATGCACAGTAACCAGCCACCAGAGACTTCTTACCTCTACAAAGTCTCAGACTAACATTCTGTTTCTAGGAATTCTCAAACTGAATGGGGAGAGGGAGGTGTAGCAGGAATCTTAAAAGTTCTTATTAATAAAATCAAACCCGAGGCGAGTTATTGGGGTCAATGCTGGTAGATCAGAGAGACAGAACAAGCCACAGCTATCTCACCTCGCCGGATCCTCAGCTGGTCCTGTTTCCTCAGACTGGAAGCCTCTGAGTCCTTATCCAGAATGAATCTCAGCTGAACTGTGTTGCTCCAAAGACTGTAAGCTTAACCAGCCAAATGCTTAACCAGCCAAATGCCTCTAGTTCCTGGTCCTCACGCCTTATATATCTTTCTGCTTTCTACCACCACTCCCTGGGACTAAAGGCTGACTTTCTGGGATTAAAGGCGTGTGTCACCATGCTTGGCTATTTCCAATGTGGCCTTGAACTCACAGAGATCCAGAGGGATTTCTATCTCTGGAATGCTAGGATTAAAGGTGTGAGTGCCACCATTTTCTAGCCTTTGTATCTAGTGGCTGTCCGTTCTCTGACCCCAGATAAATTTATTAGAGTACACAGTATTTTGGGAAACACAATACCACCACAGGGGGGAGGCATCCTGTCTCTGAATCCTCAGACTGA